CCCATGGACAGAGAGACTGCAAGACCCACTGGAAGAGCCTCTTTGGGCTTATGGGTGGGTCCCCAAAGAACCCCAAGATCACTTGGGACAACCCCTCCCGCTGCAGGGACATGGGTGCTGGCAAAGCATGGAACCACTCCCACTGCAAAACACCCTCATCCTATGACAAGAGGGCCCAGGCATGGATCTTTGCGCTATGCATCCACACGTTCTCATTCGGCGCTCTGGTACGCAAAGGTAACAGGCATGCCACCAGGTCCACAGACCAAAGCCCGCGCTTTGTCCCAAGGCCTAATCACCCTGGCACAGTACGTCCTGACTCCCGTCAAAGTGATTGTTCAGCTTGGCTCTCAAAAGCATACGCAAGAGGAAAGGTTTCATTGATCTCACACATGTTTCCCGCACACATTCACAAGAATCAGAGGACCCCAGGTGCACCAGGCAGCGAACCACATCTCCGGCAACGACAAAGGGACGCCGCCCTTGCAGCTTGGGAGCGAGCAAATACCATTCACGACGCCAATGCAGAAGCCTGGCAAAGGACACTGGACCTAGACCACTTTCAGGTCTACCAACATGCGGCAGCCAGGTTGGAGAAGATCTTAAAAGATCCCCAGCACTACCTCCATGAGAAACCAGTGAGGCGGGCAGGACACACCACCAAACAACACAAGAAACGCCTCATCCAACAGTGCCGCCAACCCTGGGTCGAGTGGGAGCCACACCGCAGCGGTTTCCAATGTCATACTTGCCATGTTCGAGTCCACCAAGGCCTTACGGTTGAGATCATCGAACAAAGGCTCCAGCAACCCTGTGACCTCCTCCAACACGAGGCACCGGAACCTGGTCTGCCGACCACCAGGGCTGTAGGCAAGAAGACAACGCGGGCAGGCACCATTGCGGCCCTCCCGGCCGTTCAAACAGCAACATCCTGTGGCAGCTGACGAGCGTGCTTTCCAAGAAACAACAGGATACCTCAAGTGCACTAAGGGCAATCTCTCTGTACCGTGTTCTCGAGCTTCACCGGCAGCAAGTGTGTAGATGAAGAGCACACCAAAAGTCATGATGCCCATGCCAGCCACCATCTCTGGCAGAAGGGGAAAGGCATCAAATGCAGGATCTGTGGGCTACAAAGCCATCTCGACGATGCTGACCGGGTCATTTTGACCAAAGGACTCAGAAAAGAGTGCCGGGGCAAGTCACAGGCTTCACCCACTCTGGTGAAGCTTTTTGGCGCGCAAACCAAGCACAGCCAGTCCTCAACGCCCACAACCAAGCACGCCGCCACAGAGCTCCACACCTGCGGAGGGATACTCTCCCCCAGCACCCAAGAAGCTCAGATTCTCTGACGAGACTTTGAGCGCAGAAGGAGATCCTGGGGCTGTGAAGAACAAGCGGAAGAGGAAAGGGGAGAGGACAACCCCACAGTCCACGTGGACTACTTCTAAGCCGACCACGATGGCACCTTCATGGCAGGCTGCTGGCACGGCTGCGATGGCCAATGCGCCAACTCGTTCACCCTGAAAAGGTCCTTTGGGAGAATAAATACATACATGCATGCATACATACATACACACATACATACATCTTGATCATCCGCTCCAAGGATATGGCTGTTGGCAGTCCATGCAAGCGGCGGCGCCCGACCAGTATCAAGGCTGGGCTTTCACTTAGGACGCCACACCATCCACATACGACAGCAGAAGCCAGGTCTGGGTCTTTGGCGCAGCTCCACCGTTTGGAGGCCATCACAGGCATTCCCCAAAAACCCCACAACAAAGCACGAGCCCTCTTGGCAGGCCTATGTGCATTGGGGCAACACGCCACAGTTGAGGTCAAGGTCATCGTGCAATGAAGCGATGCGGCGTCACTGAAGCTGATTTCCGCGTTCTGTATGTCAGCAAACAGACCAGGACGCCAGACGCGCCAGGAGGTGAACCTGAGGGATGCAGCCCTCACAGCTTGGGAGCGAGCCACCAGTCTGCAAGACCACCACAAGGCCAACTGGCAGACCACCCTCGATCGTGATCATAGTCAGATCTACCAACATGCTGCAGCCAGACTGGCCAAGATCGTTGACGACAAAGACCACTACACCCATGCCAAAACCCCAAGGCACCATGGCAGACAGACCAAGCAGCACAAGAAGCACCTGATTGGACAATGCACAAAATCCTGGAACACTCCGCATCACAGGTGGGCACCTCAGTTGTGGTGTCAGAGTACATCAAGGACTGACAGTCCCGGTCATTGAGCAGAGACTCCAAGAAGACTGCCCTCAGCTGCTCCTCGAAGACGCCAACCCACCACCACCAGCTACTGCTGAGGCCATGCCCAAGAAGATCACCCGGGTACAAACGATCAAGCATGTCCTGAAAGCTCAGGAGGAACAAACACCTGGTCCACAAGCCCACCAACATGGAGAGACTGCCGGCTATCTCAGATGCCTGAAGTGCGGCATTGCCATCCACAAGTGCAAATGAAGAGGCATTCCAGGCCTACTTGAACAGCCAGTGCATTGACCAAGCCTTCGAAGGTTGACATGAGGGCCACTTCAGTCAGAGGCTTTAGCAGAAAGGCAACCGGCTGCATTGCACCTCCTGTGGGCTCCAATTGCACTGGGATAAGGAAGCCAGGGTGATCCTCACCAGCGCCTTCAAAAAGGACCGGAGTGCAAGGGCGCAGCCGTCCAAGGGTCCCCACCCATTCAGGAGATGTTCAACAAGCAGGCCCTGTCCAGCAGTGACCCATCCCCATGAAACCCACCCAAGGCGGTGAGGGTGTCAAGACTGACGACCATGCACTGGTCCCACACACCTGAAAGAATCAGCCTGTGGCTTCCAGCGCAGACAGCCAAGAAGGCGAGGAGGAGGACATGCTGGCAGATGACCCGATTTGTGAGGACTACATGGCAGTCGAATACTTCTGAGCCATGCCAGCTGAGGCAACATGCCTAGAGGACCGGCCAAAACGCCAAACCAGCCAGCCACTTTAGGGAAAAATACATACATACATACATACATACATACTTACTTACTAGCTTACTTAACATTACATTACATTACATATACATATACATATACATTTTCATATTCATATACATATACATAACATTACATAACATTACATGACATTACATATATACATACATACATACATACATACATACATGCGCACACATGCCCACGTACATGGATACATACACAACAAGCCTGCGCGTTGTGGTGGCCATGGCACCAAGCAAAGCAAAAGAGGCTGGTTCAACAATGCCGCCAGCCTTGGACTGCTGGCATGGATGGAAACCTCACCCTGCCAACGCGACGCATGCCAGGGATTGCTGTTGTGAGTAGTCTTACCCAATGGCCTATTAGAGTGACTGTGTGTGGCGATAGGTACTGCAAAACAGAAGACCAGTGTGATTGTTGCTAGCGTAGCAAAGTGTGCGCGCAGATGACCTCTGTGAGTCGCTCGCCTTTTGCGGCCCAATGTTCTTTGAATGTCCTTACTTTCAGTGTGTGGCTATGTTGACGCCTGTAGGTCCAGCAGTGACTGAAGGATGATTGGTCGTTGACAATTTTGCGGGGCTTTTGGACAGGATTATGTCTTTCCAATCATTTTCAATATTTTCACAAAACTTAGAGATATATAAATGGTCCGTTTTGGCAAACGAAGCGGTGCGCATGGAATTCCCGTTTAACAACGGCTTTAGGCAAAAGACTTTTGATAGATGTATGTATGTAGCGTAATGTTGTATAATGAAATGTAACGCAACGCATTGTAATAATGTAAGGCAATGTATACGTGGATGCATGCATGCATGCATGCATGGATGGTATGTATGTATGTATGTATGTATGTATGTATGTATGTATGTATGTATGTGTACGTATGTGATCTATCGCACCCAGTTGTGGCCCAGCGGTGCCCGACGGGACCTGAAACTTATCTCGATCTGTCTATCTATCTCTATCTATCTATCTATCTACCTACCTATCTTTCTATCTAAGTCTATCTATCTATCTATCTATCTATAATCTACCTACCTACTTACCTATCCATCTACCTATCCGTTGGGCAATCTATTAACTATTAAGTTGTTTTCTGTCTTTCTGTCTATCTTTGTATGTGTGTGTGTGTCTTTCTGCTTGCGCGATCTTGTTTTCTGTGTATCATGCGTGTGTCAGGTATCTGTCATGCGCGCGTTTCTTGTTGCAGCGGATTTGTGGATTTTTTTGCGGTTGGGGTTCGGACAAACCTGGTGAGACAAGGGTTTGTTTCAATACTGTTTCAAGAGACTTGCTGCGCAGAACAAGTTAAACCAGTAGTTGTTTTGATCCCGCCCTTGACCAATGCTAGTGGTTACAACGAAGCGGACCTGCGTTGCACTGAGACTGAGAATTCACGAAACCCACCCTTGACCCCAAACTTGACCGCCAGCTCTTACTGCTCCAGAAGCTCAAGAACAAGCGGCCCAATAACTTGCACCTGTGGCAGAACTGTTTCAAGCATCCTGCAGGCAAAGGTTTGACGAAACTCGATAGATGGGGCCTTCGCGTTGGAAGGCAAATTGAAAACTTAGAGTTGTTGTATGGAGATGTTGCGCAGAGAACAATGACCAGCTACAGCGGCGCGAACAGTGCAAATTCAAACAATCAAGCAGCTTGTGAGTTCTGAGAGCACGCATGTTGACCGTCACCAACTGTTTGTTTCAAAGAACTGAACTGCTTTGAGCTTGGCAGTGCGAAAGTGCATTTGTGACACTTGCGGATGTTAAATTGAAACCTTCGCAACACCCGCAGACAATCTTGTCATATCTTGTCAAGTTTTACGATTTGAAGCGGCCCCCGCAAACCGAAACGAGAATGCAAGCAATGAATTACGATCGGTTACGGCAAGCTTGGGGCGCCCAAGGCCCAAACGATCTCAAGTGGAATAGGTCAGTATTGTTCGCGAACAATGTATTTGCTGTTGCTGCTACGAAGCACAGTCTTGAAACTGAGGCCAGGCCTGATGAGCCCGAGGACCAGCAATAGAAACCACACACAACACTGTAGTTGTCCTGACGCCCTGCATTCTCAACCACGGAAGTGTTGCAGTCTACTGTTGGAAGTAACCTGAGCCAGGAAAGCTTTGACAGTTTGACACGGAGACAAGAGGTTCCAAACTAACTTTAAAGCTTCCCAGCATGTCGTGTACAGTGTAGAACTCAAAAATGAGTTCCTTGGAACCTGGCTTCAAACTTTGTTGCACTGGTGTGAAGCTTGGCGATGCGAGGCAACATTTGACGCAAGAAGAAAAGCTGCTGAGGCATTGGAGTCAGCCTCGGTAGTGCATTGCAGCTGTCGCGTTTTTCCACAAAGCCCTACTTTTTCCACTTCTTCGCAGCCTTTGGCCCGGCCAGTATAGCCTACAAAAAACCTAGGAAACACATCAATCGTGGGAGGGCAGCTTCAAGGAAGCTACCCCCACCTCACCACAAAAGAACGCGTCCAAGCCTAGTAGGCGCTCAGGCTACTACCACATCTCATTACTTCTTAGCTTCTTCATGCTCTACCCCTCCCTTTCAAAAACTCGACGACACATGCGTAAAAGTACAAGGTCGGTTGTTGTTCAGTTTTTTGGTGTCAACGCGCGTCTCTTTACTTGTCGCTCGTCAAGGAAACAACCACTTAGCCCGTTCACCAGCGATGCGCCGCGTGTACGCACGCATGTTTCCCGTTCCCCAAGTGGCGCGGAGGCACGCAAACACGCTTTCCCCCGAGGCCGCCAAAACCGCATAGTACAGCGACATCACAGACATTCACAGATGTAATTTTGCAACGCGGTGCGCCGAGGACTATGTAGATACAACAATGTAACACCAAGCCTCGGAGACACCGCGAATCATCCTGATCCCAAGAGCCTGCGTTTGCGCACGCTTGCTTTTCGTGTCCCAAGGGCCTTAGCGCGCGTAGCCACGCAAACACTTTCCCCCGAGGCCGCGCAAATCCGGCGCAGCGACAGCGCAGACGCACTTTGCCACATGTTGCGCCACAGAGTAGATACAACAATGCAACACCAAGCTCCCAGAAGCTCGCGCTACCCAGTTGCCGTTGTGAGACCGCTCATTCAGAAGCCGTTTCCCGCACTACATTCGCACTACAAGGTTGCCAGCTCTGAGGTCACAGCTCTCAGAAGCTGCTTCTTGCACTGCATTCGCACTACAAAGTTCTGAGGCCGGCCCCCGGAACAGTTTGCAATTCTGAGGCCGCAGCTTTCCGTGGCTCCTGAAGCTGCAAAGTTGCCAGTTCTGAGGCCACATTCCCACAACCTGCTTCCCACACAGCATTTGCACTACCAAGTAGCCAGTTCTGAGGCCAGGCTCCACAGCTTTGAGGTCACGTACGATAGTGTGGTGGGACGCTCTTTTTGCACACTCTCGGGCACTCTTGCGGGACACCGCTATAAAGTTGCCAGCGCGGAGTTCCAGAAGCCACTACAAAGTTGTGCGCCCGACTACATTTGTCCTACAACTTGCCACTTCCGCGTGTGCACTACAAAGTTAGTTGCCAGGCTCCCAGGATCCCGCACTATGCCAGCTCTGGGACCAGTTTCGAGAAGGTGCTTATCGAGTACATTTGCGCTACAAAGTCGCCAGCTCTGAGGCCACAGGTTACACTTGGGCAACATCCGCCTTCATTTTGGACAACAGTTACGCACTTTGGTGACGCACAATCTCCGCACAGGGGTCACCCCAGCCAAAATAAATCACCCCATATTTGAGCGCTCGACGCACAAGATCCCTGTGAAGGTTTCACCAGGTCCGGGCCCACGCAAAAATTTGCGTTTGACCTCACGCTCGACGGCCACAATCCCCACAAAGATTTCACCCAGCACGCGTGGCAATCGCCTTTGACCACACGTTTGAGCACCGGACGCACGCGTCGAGCAAATTTCATCTCACACTTGAGCGTCCGACGCGCACGGTCCACGCAAAGGGTTACGGTTACCTACGGTTACCTCACCAGGCACGCCGGGAATTTCCGTCTCACCTCACGTTTGAGCATCCGACACACATGAAGGGTCATTTTTCGCAACACTGGCTAGGGAAAAATATTCATAAATAGCTGAGATGTGACATGCAGACGCGAACTGAACTCAGATGTGTGAGCATAATCAAGTTAGCAGAAGTGTTTGCTGAAGCATGACCCCAGCGAAAGTTACATGGTTAATTTACAGGTGTGTGTCCTGAAGCAATCCCAGCTAAAGTTTCTGTACATCAGATACAGGCAACCAGTAACACCAAGTTAATCAGCTACACACGGCACACAACCTACTGTTTGCACACTGACAGTGGCAACTGCAAGAATGCATCTCGAGCAGCAGCACTTTTACAATAGAAGCAGCAGCTCTAGAAGAGCAAGCCTGCAAGTTGCAGATGTACTTGTGGCAGGCCTGGAGTGAGGCACATCCAGAACAGCAAACTGTCACATAAGCAGATTTGAAGCTCTGAAGCAGCAGTATAAAAGTGCAAACAAAGCCCGTTGCTCGCAGTGTACTAATGGCAGCCGGCAGCCGTTTCTATGGAAGAACCCTTTCGCAGACACTCCCGGGAAAGTTGTTTATTGATCGAACACAAACAAACAAACAAACAAACAAACAGCATCTCCTTGCAGGATGAAGCGAGACGAGCAGAATATGAAGCTGAAAAGGCTAGGGCTCCCACGGGTCCCTCCGGGTTGCTGCTGAAATGCTAAGAAACGGTCCTTGCGCCTCCTTTTTCGCATTTATTCCCCAGAACCAAGGTGTTCGAAATGCGCCCTGAAGAATCCATCGTATTTTTGTGTTTTGTGAAGCGAGGGCCGGCAAGGGCGTCTTGCATTTGCAAGAAAGATTGACAGGCTCGACAGGCGACGATTGCCAGGCAAGTTTTTGTTCGAAAACGCATGGTTTGCTCAGAACAAATCCAAAATATGCTAAATTTGAGCACTCTGAATTTATGCACGCATCGGAATGGTTTGTGAAATTGGCATGGTTTGATGTATCAGGTCTAGAGAAGAAGCTGCGAGGATTGAATCAGCAACACCTCGGAAGTGTGTGACTGATTGGGCAAAAATAGCGCAAAATGACATTGAGCAAACAAAATCAGGCAAACCAAATGGTGCGAGGAGAGCTACGAGAAGCACGGGGAGCGGCATTGGCAACCCCGAGGAGAAGTACAATCGTTCCGACAAAACAAAGCATACAAACATGATCAAACATGTGAATCATGAGTGTGTAAACGCCTGGATTGGGAAAACACGGAAACAACATATGACGCACATTTGCATCAAGCGGAAAGGCCTTCGCGGGCTATCCGCAGAGGAGCTGACAGAGCTGAGGGAATTCAACGAAAACGTTGTGCGGAAGAAAAACAGTTCCTAGTCCTACACAATTTGGCTAAGCACGTTTCACTATATGTCACTGGCTGGGATTGGTGCGCTGAAAGGAGTCAGCCCAGCCAGGGATTCACATGGAAGAAGGGATCGGAAGTTCAGTCCAAAACTCGTTTTAGTTTGTGGGCGCAGTACAGGGACATGGAAAGATTTGTGCTCAGGGAACCAAGAAAAGGCCTATCATTTGGTGGAACGCTCAAGCCTCGGCCCAAGATCGACAAAGCAACCGGACCTGCCGTTTGTATGCCAGCACAAGACGCCACAAGATCTACATTGTTGTTTCCGGATGTATCAGAGTTTCGGACAAAACATGTATTTTATGTTGCACGTGAAAAATAACATCAGTTGTTGAATTTCACAGTTGTTGCCAAGCAGAGCCTTTCCATAAATATAGAGGTCTGCGGCGCCAACAGAAAAGTCGTCTTCGCGGCCGGACCATGATGCATGTGAGCAGGTGCGAGACCCCGAGGAATTTGCTGAATGAGATCTTCAACTCAATACAACACTTTGTTGTGCTGAATTTCCAGGCAATAAGTGCCATGATAAGCCGTACATACAATGGGATGAAAGAAGGCTTGCAGATGCTTGGTCTTCCAGACTTGGCCTTAGTGTGCAAGCTGCTGGAGCCGTTTTCGTGCTGGCATCAAGTCTTGTCGTCAGCAGATTTGCCGTGTTTTCAGTTGCTGTATCGAGGACTACCCTTTGTCGTTCGCACCAGGGCGAGAACTCAAACTGTGTGGCCACCACATTCGAGAGGCGTACCAGGGCCAGAAGAGTTTGGGGCACTTGGAGGGTGAACTTGGTGAACCCTCCGGCAAGCAGAAGCAAAACGAAAAATAGTCCAGGTGGCGGTGGCAAAAGTGCAAGTGCTTTACCGCCATAGATAGCTAGGTTTTGCTCAGGGGTCTTGGAGGGGATTCACATGCTCCGTGGCGGATTACAGGCTTGTTTAAAGGTGGGTTTTAAGGATTACGCTTGCCCAAGAAAGTATGCTAAGCTTGTCAATTCTTTCTCTTGTGCGCACTGGCATTCATGGGCCAAAGCGGCATTCAATGAATTATCTATAATTATCTCCTTTTGGTTTCTTGGAGTTAGCTTTTGGATATTTGCTTCTTTTGCCTTCCATACATATTGGTACACTGTTCAATGCGTTGCACCAAAACGCGTGTGATCACAACTCATCTTGATGTTTTACAATGTGGAATCATCACTAAGTTGTTTCATGTAGTTTCCAACTTGAGGGCAAGCAAGCGGCAAGCTTCGAAGAAGTTCCCTTCCAAGTTTGGCAGTTTTCCTTCATGTTCCTTCCATTCTAAGCTATTGGTTTTGCGCACACTTGCACCCTCTCAAGAATGGATTCTGTACTGGGCAAACAAGGGTCTCGCTGATATAAAGACCACCAATATTGTTAGGATTATCATCATGGGTCATATAACTTGCATTTTCACTCCACGTAATATGTAGCTTTTAGCCATGCACAAAGTAGATACCATGTATACTCATGCACTTGGCTCAAGCTCGCAGCCCAAAACAGGATCGGTAGCTTAACGGCTGTTTTTATAGAATAGGTCATCAGCCGTAGTATTCTAACCACAGCCATGGACACCTTAGCTGTTCCGGGTAACGCTACATCTTCTGTCGCTGTGCCAGCCGGCCTCACGGCTGCGCCCGCAATAGATCTAGATGATCCTATGGGCTTGGCACCAGTGACAGCGTACTTCCAATGTGCGCAACAAAATATCCAGCAAGTCTATAATGGCAATGAAGATGCAATCATTGCTGAGGCAGAACGGAGGCACAACGAAGTAATGGCAAGATGGGTTGCACTCCATGAAGCCATTCTGGAGGTTGAAAGCAGACACCATGAGGAACTTAGCTCTGTGAAGCAACAAGCCCAATCAAGCTATGACAAGCTGCGAGTAGAGCTTAGCGCTACAAAAGCACGTGTGTTCACACTAGGCCAAGAGAAGGTAGCCGAACTGGATGCATTGCGCGCGCAACTCAGGCAAGACTGCAAAGCTACGGTGAACAGTGTCACACTCAATCTTGAGCAAGGAGTGCAAGGATTCGTGCAGAGTTCGATGAGCGCATAGCTAGCCTTCAGCGCAAGCTGAAGAATGCGGAAAGCGAAAACTACAGTTTGCAAGAGATCATTGATGAACTTAGGGCTGAAAGCAAAGACGTCACAGATCAAGGGTATCGTCCAACGAGCGCAGTTCCCTCTCCCACGATGACGCCTAGGCAGAGCGAGCAAGAAAAGCAGAAAGGAACGTTTGAGACCATTGCAGCAGAAGCTAGTGCAAGACTGAGTGGCTTGTTCGGACCAAGTGTGCCAGAAGCCGCCGTCATTGGCGCTGCCCCTCTCGGAGCTGCAGCCGCATCAACGGGTTTGCCAACGACGCCGGTCAAGCCAGTACTACCAGAGCGATGAGAAACCCAAAGTCAAGGACCATATCAAGCTAAATGATATGCCAACTCCCGAAACCTATCGACAATGGAAACGTCACGTGAGAGACGAGATTAAATCCCGATGCAGCATGGGACTGGTTGATGGAGGTATATAACACGGTGAGGAGTGTTTTGGAAGATCGACTTTCCAACCCAAGCCCAAGCAAATTCACTACTCTGGACACTATATTATAAGCTAGCCGCTGCATTGACACGTAGTGCAAAGGGTGACCTAGCCAATCGCATCGTCAATTACAAGGAAGAGAAGGCTAGGCTAGGCATCCAGGTTCGATGTAGGATGATCATCCTCCTCATGTTTGACGACTACTTCAAAACATCAGAAGAAGCTGGGAGCCTCTATCGGGCTGAAGTCCTGCTCAACGTGGTGAAGGTCGGCGACACCGTGGCTGATTGGAAACGATTCATCAACCGCTGGGACGCTACCATCGCGGGTATGCCCGAACCACCGCGTGAAAATGTGTTGAGGGATATCTTGTTGAGGCAGATTCGAACCAGTTCAATCTTGAGGTATGACATTGATTTGTTTGATCGAGCGAAAGAGGGTGATTGTAACCGGTCGTGCAAAGTTTCAAGGACTTGATTGATCGGGAGCGCCTTCGCGAGAATCGATCGCGAATCGCCGAGCGCAACAAATTAAAGACAGGCGATCGCAATGACAAGAACGCGGCACCGGCTCAAGACCCACGCCGCAAGCGCTCTCCGTCGCGTGGTCGGCCAGCCTCACGGGAAAATGGAGTTTGTTGGGCCTTCCTTGGGGGGAAATGTACCAGGGGAAGGACTGCAAGTTCAAGCATGTGAAGCCGAAATGCGACCCCTCCAAGAAGCGTGATCCATCGCATGAGAAAAGAGACAAGAGGGATAAGAGCGAAGACAGAGAGAAGAAAAAGATGATTAGGACTCCACGGGGTGGCAAGTGTTTCTTCAAGCATGGTGACAAGGCAGCGCCTGCCCCAAAGACTAAGGCACGCAAGGATTCTCCCAAACATGGAAAGGAAAAGAAGGGAAACCGTTTTGCTTGTTTGGCAGGCGATCTGCCAGGCCCATCACGCATGAAGAAGTTGCGCTTGCCACCTGCAAAGGATAGGCCGAAGTCATCGAAGAGGCAAGTTCATTTTGTGGAGAAGCCTGAACTTCACAAGACCCCCCGCTAGTGGGGAGATTTGCGCGATGATCAAGGAACCCGCAAGTACAAGGTATACGTTACGCCGCGAGCGATCGTGCGCCCAAGAGCGACGCGAAGGCGGCCAACCAAGCCAAGGTTAGGGCTATAGGCAAATCACGCCGCTCGGGGTGGAGCAAAGTGTGAAGCAAGAGGTGTGAAACTCTGGCACCTCAAAATGAGGGCGGCGACTGGTGAAAGCAAGCACGCCATGAAGAAGGCTTGGGATCACTCTAGGTCGGCGAACCCGATCTTTTGCGGCCCTTCGCTCAAGCCCCCTCAAGGATCCTCTTAGCTTATTAATAAGATATAAATCTTATAATATGCTGATATCTAAAATATATCTAAAATATAAAGATACATTATCTTATTCATGTATCCTACCATCATGATGGGATATATCCTATTTGCCACCAGGAACGCTTTGACAACAATGTCCAACATATATTTCAAACAGATCTAGCACAGAAACTGATTTGAGGTTTGCAGAAAACTCTGAGCTGCGCAAATGTTTCAAGTTAAACCGTTGGAAATCCAAACGGTGTCTTTCTTGGACGTCATGTCAGCTACCTTCAGCAGCTACGTCCTATGCCATGGCCTGTAGGAATCGAATGCTCTCTAAGCCCGGAGCAAAGTTGGACAGAAGAGCTTTGACATTCTGGCTGTTGCCAGCAGTCCCAAACATTTTCATCTCTTCAAATTGAGCTTCTGGCGCAGCCCTTGGGATTTCTACGGTGATTTGCTGGCTTGCCCTTTCCCTTCTTAGGCTCACTCCTTCGCCTTGTTTCCCTTGTCATCCTTCTTGTTGTTCTTCTGCTTTTTCCCTTTGTAGTCTTATCTTCCTCGTCCTCCAGCACATCCTGTGCTTCCATCTCATTGTCTTTTTCGCCCTTTTCTTTGGCGAAGGTTTCGGGCCTCTTCAAGACTGACGCTTTTGGAGCAGCTTTAGGTTTGGGAGCTTTGGAAGGTTTCTTCCTCACATGTGCATCACCACCTTCACCAGGATCACTTTTTTCGCTTCCACCATCACAGGAAGTGTTGCGAGAAAATTCCGAAAGTGAATGTTTGTGAGATGGATCATGTACAACAGGCTTGGCAGGCGCTGGTTCGACAGCCTGACAATGCGAGCTACCCCATGTAAGGCGTGAAAGGACCCTTGGCCGCAGCCATTGCCTGCAGTATATGAAAGCTGGGGGTAGACTTTGATGAAACGCCTTCAAGACCAGCCCAATTGCAATCCCAAAGGGTTGAACAAAAGGAATTGAGCAGAGTCAAATCCGTGACCTTCGTGCGTCGGCTCAAATTCCACCCCAAAATGGCGCGGACATTGACGCAGCACATCTCGCGCAAAACATTGATGCGCTTCGCAATTTGTCTCCTGTTCACCAGCAGTCCGCGCCGCCAACCCGGTTCACTTTGCAACAGTTCCCATTACACCTAGTGGTATTTGTATTGGCAACACCAGCGTCAGCTTGTGCAGGTATGAAGGAGCCATCCTGTCAAGCGCCGAGCAACAGACCCCAGAATTCCAAGCATGGCTGTGACATCAACAACCTCGACAGCCAGTTGGTTCCGGCAACTCATCATCAGCTTCCGGAGGAGGTTCCGAGGCAAGTTCCGGAGTTTCCGAAGCAGGAGGTTCCGGAGCAGGTTTGGGAGGAGCTTGTGCATTCCGGAGCAGTTGCGGAGGAGGTTCTGGCGCAGGTTGCGGAGCAGGTTGCAGAGGAGGTTCCGGAGCATTGTTGAAAACGACTGTCCTGACCAATGGCCTGAAATTCACAAGACTGCCCCAAGCATGTGAAGCATCTGTCTGAATGTTGCCTCGCCGATACACTGACGTCATGATTCGCGTTGTCACGCTGATATCACTGCGTCGTGTCATGCTGACATGTTCTCTTGCTGGCATGGATCCCGTTAACGCGCTGAGATGTTGTCAGGCTGAGACGCCGAAGTTGGGCCACGCTGTCGCGCTGATTTGCTGGCAAACCCACCCTCCAGGTGGGCTCCGGGGTCTGGGTCTTGCTTGTGGTGGCGTTGTCGCGCTTGCGCACATGTGGGCAGATGACGCGCTGCGCCAACGTATTGCCGCGTTGGCACGTTTGTGTGGCACATTGACAAGGTCCATTGCGATGGTGCCATGGCTTAGCAGGCGGATTTTGACGCCCAGCTGTTGACTTTTCGCGGGCTTATTTAGTTACAACAGAGAGGGTCAGAGGTTCCATGAAGAGACGAGAGTTCCATGGTAGAAAAGAGAGGCTCCATCAAGAGAAGAGAATACAAAACCAGCGTAACAGCGTAATGGCTTGATAGCATTATTCTGCAGTGCAACGGCTTAATAGCTTGTTCTAACAGCGTAACATTTTTTTGCAGCTTGTTCTAACGGCTTGATACGAAACCAGCGAGTCAGCGATTCAGCGACTTCGATCAGCGATTACGCGATTAGAATAAGTATAACAATTATAAGCGGTTCCGATCAGCGATTAAGCAATTTCAACCAGCGATCCAGCAATTAAGCGAAACGAGTGTTGCTACTACTACTACGACTACGACTACTACGACTACTACTACTACTACTACTACGACTACTACTACTACTACGACGACTACTACGACTACTACTACTACTACTACTACTACACACTGTTTTCGTTTCCGGCCACCGGCCCCAACCACCCGGCCACGCGGCCAGCCGGCCACCCCCGGCCTTCCGGCCAGCCCGGCCACCCGGCCACGCGGCCAGCCGACAATCTCACGACCAGTCGCCCGTATGTTTGGGGTCGCGCCCCGTCACCGCCGTACGCCCTTGTTTCTGTTGTTGTTGTTGTTGTTGTTGTTGCTGCGCCAAGCTTCGCTGAAAAGCGGAAAAGCTTCGCTGAGTGCTGGCTGTTCCTAGCTGACTACACTCAAGGAACCTACACTCAAGGGCGCATGCAACCTCCACTCAAGCGGCAAACGGCTCGCGGCGCATATCTATAGCTGGCGTAAGTCAAGTGACGCGCGCCAAGCTTTACAGCAAATGAGCCTTAAACATGCAGGATTGATCATTGAGATCAACGAGCTGATTTGTGCTGAGTCTTTGTCGCAGAGGTACCACTTCTAAGCCAAATTGGCGGCGCGCCTCCCCAATCTCCATGTTGTTGTACATGACGACAGCCATTTGAAGTTGTTCTGCTTGCAGCATCAACATGCGTCCGACATCGCTCATCGCCTATCATAGAAGAGCTTCATCATCGATGACTTCCACTCAGCAGGACACACCGGAGCGTATTGCAAGGAGCGCTGCCTGCCATCCTTGGAAGAGAATAGTGCTTTGTTGGGCACCTTCCCAACAAGCATTGCTGAAAGCGTGAACTCGCAATTTAGGCCACACAGTGCACCACATGAACAAGTTCTTCGCCCAGCTATTCATCCAGGAGCGCGCAAAAACATAACACGCCAAAGCTCCTGCGCCTGCAGGACAAAAAACGGGCCAGCGCAAAGAAGTTCAGAAACGGTCCGGATGTATAACAGGTCGGTTGATGAGTTTCACAACAGACTAGTTTTTGCATGTTTTCGCTGTCCGTAACCCTGCAAAATGTCAGCTTGCAAGGCGGCTGAGTGTTGTACGCTGCGCCTATTGCATGTATTCCCCACAGTCCTGGAGACAGTTTATAGCTACTGCTCAAGCTACCAACAATGTGTCACCAAAGGTGGTTTTGGATGGCCATTCCGTTGCCTTAAAGAGGTTAGTTTCTTCTGGGGCTACGGTCGTGCTCAGGAGTACTATTGCAGGACAAAATTTAAACTGCCGCTCAGGAAACACACACTGCGGCGCGGGGATACTACTCACCATCTACTGGAACCATCCCAGAATATCTATTTAAGGGTGCGGCGTTCTGCAGATCTTCCACACGTTCTCCCACATACAACCCTCACCCGCGCGACCTAAAACACGCGCCGACTCACCTCCAGCCACCAGCCACCTCCGGGCATCCGGCCACATCAGGCCATCCGGCCACATCCGGCCGGAGGTGGCCTATCCCCTATACCCCTACTCCTACTCCTACTACTACTACTACTACTACTACTACTACTACTACTAACAATAATAATAAGGGCGTAACAGCTAAATATCTTTTTCTGACGGCGCAATAGCTTGTTCTTACGGCGTGACAGCGTAATAGTTTGTTCTATAACGGCGTAACGGCTTAAAAGCTTGTTCCAACGGGGTAACGGCTTAACAGCTTGTTCCAACAGCTTAACAGTTTGATACGAAACGCGGGCTATCCTCAGTACACCCTGTGGGATCACAGTCCACTCGGGCGCTTGATCTTGACTTCAAAGTTTCACCGCGCCTGCAAGGATGAATCCAGTAGTTCCCGCCGTTAAGTTCTCAACTCTGCCGCGCGGTCCCTTGCAGGCACCAAGTCGCAATGGACACCTGCAGATGAGAACAGTGGCAGGGTCCATCGACCAGCTGCCGTAGCCAATGCCGCCACGCACCACTACACCTCGTCGGATAAAGCAGTCCAAGATGAGTCAGAAGACAGGCAGTCGGTTTTTCTGGCACCTGGTGGGGCATGCCGAGGGCAACTGGCGACCTGCAGCGATGCCCGGCCAAAGAGCCCACGCTCAAACTGCGCAGAAAAATTCAGGAAAACTACGTACATAACTTCAATGTAGCGTAACATAACATAACACACATTGCAGACAATCCAGTCACCTAAACTGGATGGCGCAGCGAAAAATTCCACCCGTGCACGAGCACAATAATAACGTAATATTGCATTGCATTACTTTACAGAAAAACATACCGACATACATGCCTACATACATACATACACACATACACACACACATACACACAGACATTCCTGAACACAAGCACCCATCCATCCAAACACACATACCTACTTACTTATATATTTACAGAATTCTGCGACGGTATATGGTACTGTATGGACTTGAAACAAGGGCAACTGCACAACCTGACAGCAACCTGACAGCAACCTGACAGCATGAAAATGTAAACACCTACAGTGTAGGCGTATATTGTTCTAAGGCACTGGTCCTGTAGTTCTGGCGAAATTGCACCAAGATAAAAAACGGGCTCTCGCTGCCAGGAAATAAATGAGATGATTCATCACTGGATGACTGATGAGAAGGCTTCCAGTTCCCCCGTTAGGAAAACAGAGCGGTGACTCTGTGATCGCAATTGGATTTGGGAGTGATTTTTTGACGTATTGCAATAGTCCACCGCAGGAGGACTTTTACGCTGCTCTGGCAAAGATCAAAGCCATAGTGTCAAAGCCAATATTGACACAAGAAGAGCTGGATTTGGTAGATGCCAAGGTCGGGTCTGTGGGCGTGACGTTTTGTCATGCATTTTTCCGGAAACCTGTATCAGATTGCTTGGTATGCAATCAGGATTTGGTAGGTGATTGGTTCGAGGCAAACAAGACACAGTAAAATTGTTTGATAAATTTTCCAAACAAACCACAAGTGCCTAAATGGACGCCGTTTGAACAGCCCAGCCCGATGGTGCTCTCAATGTTTAAAGGTTTACTTATTGCATTCAACGATTTTACATGCCAAGCAAATAGATAAAATCACCTGAGTTGGTTGTTGTTTAGTCAGTTCAGGACGATTGGCAAAAGACCATTGGTCCAGATGGCCAGGCACAATATACGAGGAGGCATGGCGCATCAAAGATATTCAAAGCATAGGTCATCATACGTCCTTTTCACACGCTCAACAGCCCTGTGCTACTACCCGTTTTGAAAAGTGGTTGTATGTAACTATCCCTCGCCCCAAGCCTTGCGACATGAAAAAGAACATTTAGAGTATTTTAGAGTGTCTTCTTTGGACCTGTCGCAATGGAACGAAACAAGAATGAAGGCAAGATGGAGTTTCTCTTTCAGTTGCAGAGGCAGCGTTGACCTCAGTAAGGTCCATGTTTATGCTTGTTGTTGCTCCACTCAGCGGGATGAATGATGATGATGGTGCCATTTTGAAGCCCAGAAACCATGACTCGTGTGTAGGCTGAAGACGATGATGATGACGATGAAGTCATTGACATTGCTCCAGGTGTTACTTGAATGACTTTCGCGTGGTTCTTCAAATATGCAACACTCTTGCAATTGCATGCTGCGTCCTTTGCAGATGGAACCCGATTGAATGGGCGAGCTGCTGGTGCCATGGCAACACACCACCTGCGTGGTTGGAATGCGTGCCAATTGCACGTGTGTTGTAGATTGAAGGTTACGGAAATTTAGATTGTCTCCATGTGTTCACTTCTTTTGACATCTAATTACTATACAGAGACTCTGAGGCCGACCTGGACAGGCTTGGTTTGGATTTGTCCCTACATGTCAGCCTTGCTTTGCTTCACCGAGTTGCCTGGCATTTTTAGGTGGGGCATGTTAACACCGTGCTTTCTACTTCTCAGGCAAAGCCAGAGTGCGACGAAGAGGAGCTATTGATACAAACAGGGACACCAACCCTCTACCCAGGCAAGAACTGTGGCTTGTACCTCAGATAAAAATTTGTAAGTGTAGCCAGGACTATTATGGCCTCCTCGGAGTGTCTTCAACCTCGTCTTTGCAAGAGGTTGGAAGTTGGGCATGTTGCAGACCGAGCAATTTCCGAATTAACGTTCTTCTGAAGCAATTTCAGATTCGAAAGAAGTTTCGAGAGCTTGTTGGTTCCTCAGACTCCAAGCGCCCATTCATTCAGGAATAGCGCATAAATTTGCGACATGACTGGAGGTGATGACCGCACATCCAGAAAAGGGCGGTGACCCAAAAACATTCCAAAAGCTCAACAAGGTTTGGCCAAGTTCAGTCCCATCTAGGCCATTTTTCGCTTGGCTTGGAGGCTTACAGTGTGCTCTCAGACCCAAAGAAGCGCCAAGACTATGATGACAGCAGATGATGAGAACCAGAACTGAGAGCTGTTGAGTTTGACGTCTTTCGAAGCTTTCTGTGGTCTTCAGAAAGGTTACATTCACTGAAGCAAACAGAAGAGAGTTGTCATTCTGTTCGCACAAGTTTGGAAATGCACAGGCATACACAGGCACCAATTCCTGCGCTGTCCTTTGGCTCTTTGGCAGTCTGTGTTGGTAGTGACAACACACAGGCTTTGTTTAGCTGCCAAAATGTGAAAGCAACAGAGCTTGCAAGGACTTGCTTGAGTCTTGGGTCTTGCAGCTTTCCCTGGCACATCATGGCCCATGATTCCGAGCAATCGATTGTCAAGAGTGGGCCAGGACATGTCAGAGGAGGTTCCAGATGTGCCTGAGCTTCTGGATCCATTTTCAGCTGCTGAAACAGCGGCCCAATCGGTTCTGGAGCAGGTGCCCACAAGTTGTCTTTTGTTTCATGCCGTTGGTCATGATAGTAGTTGCATGCGCCTGTTTTTGTATCGCTCAGTGTAAGAATGCGGTTGCAAAGGGGTGATTGGACGACCGACACATCCATGAATACGACTTGGCTTCGTCCTTGCAGTGTGTGATGTGGCATCTCATCGAATTGCATCATTACAAGCGCGTACTCATAGGTGCTTCCTCTAAACAGGATTGCACGGGTTGCACTTGACAAGGGGTTTGCTGCTTCCCTGCCCACCATTTGGCAATAGCACCATGCATGTGGCCAGACGTAGAAGAGAACAAGGCACACAAGTAAGGAGCAGTTCTGCAAAAGATGGCTTGAAACGATCAAGCTGTGGGTGAGTACAGCGTAAGGCTAGGGGTATGACGGTATGACCCAGTCTGAAAAAGTAGAAGTGGATTGAAGTCTTGAGTGGAAGAGAAACAAGACACTCTATGATGCTCTATGTATAAATACAACTAAATATTATGCATTGGTCTGAGATGGTTTAAGAAAGGTGCGACAATGCAAGTGAACCCGAACTTTTTTTGCGCACGGTGTCGAAAGTGGACTACAGCTTTAAAACGTGGTCGCCATGCTTTAATATACCAACAGGGTGTTGTGCACGGCGCTTAGCAGGAGTAGCAGGATATAATATACTGTATCATACTGTATCAGTGTATCATAGTATACATGTCAATTGCAGCCATCAGACAAGATCTTGACACAATATGCGGCAGATCGCGACAGACAAGAGAATACCCAAAAACACCAACGTGGCATGCAATCCAACAGACTTATGAACAAAAAACAAACGAAGAGCGGAGAGGATTACTGCGTTGGATGTTTAAGTCTGTGTTCATTTCTTAAATTTGCTTCCCTTTTTTAGTCTGTAATAATTTGTTTTTGCTGCAGGTCCTCCAAGAAGGAGGCAAACTATTGTACGACAGCTACATCGAGCGGAAGTCGTTTTCTTTTGCTGCAACTGCCGCATGCGAGGCTCGGAGTCCTTGAAAGAATATAATTTCTGCAGGAACTGTCTTTCGGTGGATAGCTTTGCGGCATATCCTCAATTGCCCATGTGGAACATATGAGAGCTGCGCAATGGCTAAAATAGCTTACGCTAGATGTTATTCTTATTGGAAGTTGGTCACAACCATTGAAATTGAATCCTCATACTTTTGTCCTGAAGCCTTTAAGGTTCTGATTGGCGAGCTGAAAATGTGCTTCGTTCGCAGGGAACCTACAGATGTTCAACGAATCTTTGAGGCTGTTTCAGTGCAGCCCGAAACCACTTTGGCGGCACTTCAAGACGTGAGGTCATGATCTAGGGGAGGATCAGTTGCCATGAGCTTGAAAAATTGTCGAGCGCGAAGAATAGCATATCAGACTCGACCACACTGTTTGAAAGAAATACAGTTCAAAGGGTCACACAGGCTCAAAAAAGAAGAAAGAACGCGTGAGGTCAAAGCCAGGCACTTCATCAAGACCCGGAACCAGCAGCAAAAGTGATATGGCACGACCTCATAGCACCGAGGCTGGAAGCAACCCATTGGATCATGAAATAACAAAGTGCTAGGCGGTGCTCTTCGTTTGAAAGTTCTCCTCTACAATGACTCCAAATGCACTACTTACAACTTACCGACGAGGAAGGATTGGTATGGCATCATTCCAACCTTGAGGCTAGGGAGTAGACTAAGGTGGCTAGGGCTAGAAGCTACAAGTGTGGAGGGAGGCCAAATCGATCCATGGGCCGGACATTTGGGTTTCGGTTTGACACACTGTGCACGAGGCTGGCCTCTACAGCGCACGAGGTTCGATTTATGGAGCTTGACTGAATGCACAGATACGCGTCTGGTTCGTTGTTCCAAAAAGTAACAGCGAGACGTGTGCGTTCTTGGTTTGCATTGCGTTTGATTAAGTCATGAGTTTATCGAAACAAGATGCACACTGTCCGTTCAGGTGCTTTGATAGAAAGCACTTTGCGCCCTGGGTCAGCACCTGCGACAGCTGACAGGCATGCAACTCGGTATTGGCAGAACTTGAGATTGCCGATTGCTATGCGCTCTGGACTCGAATGAGGTTTGCTTCAAGCTGTGGCCTTACCTCAACCAGTGACTCCTCTTGCCAAAATTATCCGGGCGCAGCCATTACACATGGGCAGCACAGGTCAGGCAGCAGCACCTGACCATCAAAGGCGGCATACTTACGAAGACAGCATAAAATGATGCTGCAGGTGCTGTATGTTGTCTGGCGTGTTTTTTTCCGCTCCAGGAAAGAGACAGAAGAAGCAGATTACGGAGAAGCCAACCCAGGTTGTTTGCCTGATTCAGGCAAAATGGTTTGGGTCCCAAGTCCCAACTCAACCTCCTCATATCCAGAGGTGTTACATGTGCATGTTCACTCTGTATAAGTTGCTCTTGTCCCTCGGAAGAGGATGTGCAGTGCAACTTTAAAGCGGTATAATGGGGAGGCGGAGCTCAAAGTATACGTGTCAGTGTTTGAGGCTCGGAGGGATGGCTGGCTCCTAGAGACAGAGCCTCCAAGAAGTCGAATTGACACATGGGTCCTGCTGGCGAGTTACGGAAATTCACGTATATACGAAATAGATGTTGGACATTGCAGTTTAATCCTTTTGCCAGGCGCGGGCTTGCGTCCCAATCCGAAAGGTTTTCCGCAAGGCTGCTGCCCAAGCTCTATTGGTTCTCGCTGCTGCGGCACAAGTCTATGTTCTAGGCAGTGGGAAGATTTCAAGTGGAGACAAAGGTCAGCACCCGTTGGAGTTTCAAGCAAGTCCTGTATTCTGATGTATTCTGCGTGAACATAGAAGAACCATGTATTGTACGTAGCCGAGGCAGGTTGAGGGTGTGTGATTAAAGGAGGTGAATTGAACAGAGTGTGGTGCTTGATTTTAGCTTGTGTGTCTTTTTGTGTTTGCAGTGTTCAACACTAGCATAGCCCGTATTGATTGTTGGTGTCTTCATGCAGAAGTGCAGAGCCTATTGCAATAACTGTTGATTGATTGGGTTGCTTGGTGTTTCGTTCAGTGTTTGCTTCCTTTCAAGGTTGTGTTCTGTTTTGTTGTGGTGGAAAGAACACTCCGTTCATGGTACAGATTCGTTGCTATTCAGCCTTCAGCGAGGTTTCTCCCACAAAAGTGGCAGGGACACTTAAGAAACGTCCGTCCGTCCCATCATGTTCATGATTTTTCATGAGCATGTTCTTTGTGTTTATATAATCGTGCTGCCACACAGCATTCAGAATGATTCACGCATGACTTAGGTACGACTCCTTGGATACACTCTTTCAATGTTCAGAAGCTAGCAAGAGCAAGTCGGGGGCATCTGGGGCAAGACGACGTTGTGCTTTAGCGTTGGCCATTCTCTTGCTCGAGGCGGCCGCGTTCCTGCTTGTGCACCATGCTTGTGGCAGTGTCCACAAACTGTTTTCTTTCGTCTTGGAGAGTTCGGGAAGTTGCAGATGATGCTGCTGCTGCAACCTTTGCGACCGGGCGTGCGCCTAAAGCACCAGATGTTCCCCGTTCCATTCTGTCACTATCAAATCCGTCTTGTAAGTCCCCTGGATAGTAAACTCCCATGGTGCTTGTGTTGCAGCATCTTTTGCACGGCACCCAATCAGCTTGCGCACGCCAGCGATATAGAGGGCAGAGGTTTGGCCACGTTCCACGCTCTCACACTTGCTCATGCATTACTCCCGTTTCCACCAGCAGCCTCCATTCCAAGTTCGCTTGCAGATGTAGCACGAAACACTCAGATGCCAAAGAGTTGCAGCAGCTTGCCAATCCACTGAGGATGAGCGAAAGAACGAAAGGAGCTCAGTTTGGAGATGAAGTGCGATTGACACGTTCTACTGTTTAAGATTTGCGGGTTCTTCATTGTGCTTTGCTTGAAGGCTCCGCCAGTCAAACGTTCCGGTTCACGCGTGAGACCCTGAGTCATGCTAGTACAAAGATGTGTACAATTGTTCAATGCCAATCAAGCCTTTGATTGCGTATTGCTCATGTCAAGGCCTCCTATGGTTCTGTGGTTTGCTCAAAAAATCTATACAAAGAGTCAGTTTAAGCTCCTTTGTCATTTGTCAGTGCTTAGTGATTTTGGAATAGATATGTTCACCTTCACTCTCCCAGGTGTCCATCCCTGGTAGCAGATCACCTTCTAGGTTTGGTGCTCACACAGTAGCTGAGACTGAGACCTCGGTCCTTGCCTCAGAACATTGTAGTACTGCGTGCCTTGTCACTTGTTATCACTTTGCTCTCATCGACTATCGTTTCTAGGATTCTTGGAAGCATCATGGAATATTCATGTCTTCCTTCAGATTTGTTCCTTTTGTTGGTGAGGCCCCAAAGCCCATCCGAAATCAGCAGATTCCTTTGGTTGATGAACGCGAGGTTGGAAGATTTGTAGCTGTTGTTGCACTCCTCAATCATTTCGAGCCAGGAAGATGAAGAAGAAGCCATGTTGCGAGAACTGAAAGAGCGGGAGGAGAGAGGGGATTGAGAAAGAGAGAGAGAGAGAGAGACAAAGAGAGTGCGAGTAAGAGTGAGAGAAAGAGTTCAAAGAGCTTACAGTGCCATGGCAGCCTAAACTGCCTCATGTTGCAGGCGAGGAAGATGAGGGATGATCAAGTTCGTTCGGAAAGAAAGGTCGGGTCCATCATTTGCCCTCTCAGCTTGTGTTGAACAAGTTTACTGTATGGTGCACACGACATTTGCCTGATTGTGTTTATTTGTGTTTCGGTTGATAGTCTCTATTTGTATTCCTCACAGGCTGCAGAAGCCGAGGAAGCCAAGATGTCACAGGTCAAGGACACTGGACCATGTACAGTAACAAAGCGATCAGAGTAGACAAAAGAAGAAATCCTGGCGCTTACATACATTATTCTCTGTCGCTTGCTGGGTGGACTCATAGTATGTGAATGGTGCAATATAAGCTATCCCCAAACACTTTTTGTTCCTCAGTTCGCTTGGAGCGTTCTTGGTAACATAGATGAAGTGTAAAGTATGCCACCCAAATATGATCCGCACTTTTGCCTATTTGACGCTAAAATTGTGTGATCAAAAGGTTTCACAGATGATGGTGCAATTACAGTACATTTAGCAAACATGTACAGTACTGAGTTTCACTTGGCTGTGGTACTGAGTAGCACTGCCCAGGCCTGGTCATAGGATGGGCTGCTTCATTCAAACAAACAAAATGCTTGGCAAGATTCATTGATCCTGCAACTAAGATTTTGTGGATTCTGGGGGGACAACGCAGCCAGAAGCTTTGATAGGTGAGTTAAGTTCTCCACTCCTTGTTGATTCTTTGAAAGATTGGAACATGCACACGTAGCAAGTTCACAGTGAAGAGCACAAAAGGGATATTTTATGTCATGTGAGTGGTTTTGTGAAGCAGACATTTAGATAGAGTTGGTGAGTAGGTTGCCCTCGATAGGTGAGACAGGATTGTTCTACGCCAAAGTCACGGCACATGTTCTTCGGCTCCTTGCTTTTGGGCCAAAACATGCGGTTGAGCTGTGTGAGGCACACACGTAGCTGCGTAGCTTTACTTTCGACCTCACTCATACATCACGGTTAGCGCACGTATGGGTTCGGCTGGTGTATGGGCGTCTCTAAGGACGACAAGAAGAAGCAGTTTGCCTACGATTCAGATGGTAATTTGATCTTGGTGCATCAGACTCGCTTGACGTATGCGATACACTACGTGAACACAATCGTTCACGTGGCAGTGTGTGGCAGGTACAGCCTCCGCAAGTTCACAGACTACCAAACCCAAACACTGCACCAACGTTTGTGTGCAAGCAGGCGAAGTGGGGAATTTGCTTTGTTGCAGCAGTGTCTTATGGTAAGCAGAGTTGCCTGGGTTGTTGAGTTTATATATGTGCATTGTGTAAATATAGGAGGCAACGAAACGTCAAGAATGATTTTCTGCAGTGTTGGCACAGAATAACAGTGAAAGAAACAATTTGAGACGTGCAGATGTGCAGAATAGATGGTGCTGAAGCCTGGCCTAGCCAATGGATGGATTCTCCTCGCTCCACGGCCAGGAAGAAGTTTCTCAAGAGCATAGGGTGCCAGAGAAGAAAGCTGCTCGCCGTGAAGTGCTCAGGCTGCTTTTGGCCCACATAATGCGGAAATGACAAGCTATAGTGCGGTTGTGGAAATTCCACTTGAGTACGCGATTTTGGCTCTAGTGTTCATCGCACTGACATGTGAGCATGAGTTCATAGGTGGTGATTTGGAAAGCGGATTTGGGCCATCAACCTAGTTGGTGGATGTTGGTGGTTTCTTGCTGGGCTGAGTGTGTTGTCACTTGGCAGTCACTTGGCCGTCAGCGCAATCCATCAAAGGCTTTGTTCACATGAGAGCGACCCGCCATGCGTGTCATATGCTGCATGAAACAGCGGTGACGGGTTGGAGTGGCGTTCGGGAACTACATGGAACTACAAACGCCACACATTCAGAAATCTTCAGAACCCCGCCAGCCGGCATCAACGCCTGCAGCGCTCCTGAACGAAGGGCCAGCTCATCTGCAGGGGGTCACAGCAAGGTCAAACTGCAGGCCATCAATAGTAGATGGGAGATGCTAGGGCCTGGGCTGGCACAGATGGGGCGCTGTGGGAGGCTCTGAACCTGGCGTTCGGTCAACTTGCACGAGTTTGTGAGATAGCCCTGACAGCCAGGCTGACCTCGAAGCCGGCGATCCATGACCTCCTCCTCGAGCCCTTATGCCTGTGGAAGCGGCTATAGAGTGGAGTCGCTGAGAAGAGTTTAGTTTGCTGCCGACGAGCCATTTCCTCCGGTAGGAAGGGGCTCCATCGACAGCGCGGGCACCTCATGCTAGAAAACTAAATCAGCACTGTGCTGGATCCAACTTGACGCCGGGACCCTGCCGCTAGAGTCTAGCCGCTAAAGGTTACCTGCGTGTATGAGGCCTACCGCGCAAAGTTCGGAGATTTTGGTTGGCTGTGATCAGCTGGCGGCGTTGAGTCAGGTCATTGCGGCCGGAGCTGCCGCATTTAATTGGCACACACGGCCAAAAGCTACTTAGAAGGCAAACCTTCCAGACTTATAGCTTGAATGTGGCAACTGGAGACCGGGGACGCAAGGCAACCCGGACCGGCATCCTTCTATGCTTGGTAGAAGGCCTGGCGGATGGGTCTCCAGTTCTGGTTGCTCGATGCAACCAAGGCTGAAAGACTGGATAGATATGCGGAGCACATCCGAGGCTTCGTGGCTCAGCCGGCCCTACGCACAACCGCGTGCACCACTCCGTGCACCGCAAAACAAAGGGTAAACCCCGGCCTTCTTGTTTGCGCACCGCCTCACGCACCACCCCGCGGACCGCAAAACATAGGACAAACCCCGGCCCTCTTGTCCGCACTCCGCCTGACGCACCAGTACCCCACGCACCACCTCCACACACCCCAGGGTTCCTGCAGCACAAAACTAGTTCAGCGCACCAAGCTTGCGTCAAAGCAGAAAGGTGGTCGTTCATACACTAGGCTGCCAAGGAGAACCCCACGCTAGCCCAGCAGATATCTACGCCCCGGCAGTGCCCGATTGCTTGCTATGCAGCGGCTGTGAAAGCTACGGGGCTCTGGGCTCTTTCTCACACGAGCCAAGCAAGACCAACACCTGCCCCACTCAGGTGAGAAAGGACGAAGAAGGCAGCTGCCCTTTGTGTCTAGCAACTAAATGACTGGTGACACGTGGAGACCAGAGACGGCAGTTGACTTCAGGGAGAACTCAGTTGAGTTCAAAGATGGTTTCAAGAAGTTCCTCTCGCAGCAACCATCTATGATGGAGGCAAGTGGCACTGCTATATATAAATATATATATATAAACGAACTGTTCCTTGCTCAGTTCGTAGGCTATGGTAATGTCACCTGGTGTGGAGCTTGAAGAAAATCATCGGAGCAAAAAGGGTGAGAAGGCCAGCGGTCAAGAAGAGTTTGCTTCAGGTTGATTGTTTTCCAGTCACATCTCGGCCTGTTTGCAAATTTTCGAAGTTTGTTTCCATGTGAGCTACATTCCAAGCAGACACAAGAAGCTTGTTGTGGAATCAAACTAGCACGCCTTTGTGAGAAACGATGTTGCATTGGATTGAATAAGATAACAACAAAAAGGCACAATGCACCCAGTTCCGTGGCGTGAATCAACGCAGGCGTTCGACGCTGTTTTTTGGTGTAGAACACAGAATTGAGGATATTCGTTCACCTGAGACGAGACAATTAAAGCACTTGCCAAGTCCAGTGCCACTCAGCCCCTACGCCTTCCAACATTGCAAAATTGAAATTGGATACAAACGGAACCAGTGAAACTCTTTTTCAGGCCAAAAGCCACAAGCCTTCAACAATGTCAAGAAAAGAATACGAGGTTGGAATGCATCTTGCATGTTTGTTTTTGTCATTTGCCTTCAGTAGGGTATCAGCATTGCATGTCAACCAAGGAGATGACAAAAGGCATGGGCCATCCTCTAAGATATTCTACTCCTGCTCTCTGCACTCTTTGGTTTTCCATCCTTGGTCTTCGCACTCGCTCTGGCTACCTGCAGCTAGGTGGTGTGCCGGAGCAGACAGTGGCAACGCCGATAAAGTCAGTGCCACCACGAAAAGTCTCACATGTGTGCCGCGCTCATCATGTGAAGGTAGCTCCGGATATCTCACAGTCAGACATCTCTTCTTACACCTCATGGATGTCCGAGGGACACTGCGCCGCCCAAGGAGATGCAGGCACAGCTCGCGCAGATGCATTGTAAAGACACATGTTGGCAGATATGTTTTGCTTCTTTATTGTTAGCACTCGTTGTTGCATGTGATGTCGTGTGCAATCAGCTTCTTATATATAACTGGCACCGGCGTTGTGTCGAAAAGATGAAACTGCTCTACAAGAGATCAGATAACTACAGATGAGATATATAATTAAGCTTGTGAATCGCTCGCTGAGCGATCATGTTTGATCACGTTTGAACCAACTCGTACCGCCCTTAGCTGGGTGGGCTCAAAGCTTGAGGAAAACCGGCGCGTGTTTGCGGTTCACTCCGCATCGACTTCGTTTTGCACTTGGTTCCGGACTTCGTTTGCCTGGACGCTGTTTCCACATTGGTAGCGGAGCCCTGTGAAGGGGCTCCGCTGCGCACTTCGCGACGACGAGCCGAAGGTCCGGGATAAGACCAGGGTCACGGACGGTTCGAAGAGCTCTTTGTGTTTGCCTCCACCTGTGCTTGGTTTCGTGCACTGGCTACCTGAACACCCCAGCCACCAAGCAGGTGATTGAAGAGCTCTATCCTACCATGCCGCCTCCGAAGAAGACTGAGACCCAGGCACCCGCCGGCTCACGAGATGGTGGAGGAAGCTACACAGACCTGAGGGATAGCTATGTTCCCACCTTCTCAGGCCAACCGGCCGACTACAAAGAATGGCGCCAGCGGATCCATCTCTATCATCGCAAGATGATGCTCACCAAGAGAGGCAATGAGTCCGTCCTGAACATCATTGGATCCTTCCAAGGAGTCACCTGGCGACTTTTCCAGGACTGGAGCCTCGAGGAGCTGGAGAAGGAGTCATCCTTCGACCGCATCATTGCTACGTTGGATGCGAACTTTCAATACGATGCCCGAGTTCAGTTGCCCAACGACTTTGAGGGCTACTTCAACCTGCTCCAACGTACAAGCGGCCAGACTCTGTTGATGTTCGTGGCCGACCACGAAGAGGCTTACAGGAAGCTCCAACAACACAAGGTCGAACTTCCGGCCTCAGTTCAGGGCTGGCACTTGTTGCGACGTGCCTCCATCTCCAAGGAGCAACGACAGATGGTGACGCTGAAGGCCCCGAGCTTGGAGAAGAAAGATGTGATAGAGGCCCTCTACCTGTTGCTCGGTCAAGACTACAAGGGAGGTCGGAGGAACCTGGCCGATGGAGCGCAAGCGATTTGGCTTTGCACCATGGCGCAACAACCGTGCCTACATGGCCGATGACTATGATGATGAAGAGCCATGGGAGTCAGGTTACTATGAAGGTGATTGGACTGAAGAACCCACCTATGCCTCCTACGAGGACTATGACTACGAGCCTGAGGAGCCCGACGAGTTTGACAATGAAGCAGGCTACTATGGTGAAGAACAATGGCCTGATCCCGATGCCGAGCCTGTCAGCCCTCAACACATGGCTGAAGAGTACGACCACGCCTTTGCCTCATACACAGATGCTCGGAAACGGTTCCAAGAGCTGAAGATGGCCAGAGGATATCTTCCAGTGGTAGCTTTGACCGATGGCTCACAAGCTCCTGTGTCTCCCGCATCCAATGCTACATCATCACCTTCCTCTTGGCGCTCAAAAGGGAAGGGGAAGGGAGGCACCAAGTCTGGCAAGTCCAAAGCCAAGACGACAATTCGCTACCCACCTCAAGGTGCTGGCAAAGCAGATCCCAAAGGAAGAGCTCGTGCAGCACTCACTTGCCTGAGGTGTGGCCAACCTGGTCATTGGGCGGCCAACTGCCCACAAGGTTCAAGCAGCTCAGCTTCCAAGGCTGGAACGAAGAGGCCCGCTCCTACGGAAGGCATGGCATTTGCAGCTCAACCTGAGGAACTTGCTCTCCTCGCCTTCCAAGACGCCAACGGCTTGGAGCGACCTGACTGTGCTATGCTGGATCCTGGTGCAAGTGCATTCCTTTCAGGCTATGGCCCTTTTCGCAAGCTGCTGGAGCACTATGAGGACCTTGGCTATCCCACCGACCTCATCAAGATGACAAAAGGCCGGAGACGATTTCAGTTCGGTGGAGACGCCTCACAATGGTCCGACTGGAGCACACACCTTCCGGTCTTCGTTGATGGCAAGTACGGAACAGTTGAAGTGTTCTTGCTGCCGGGCAGCACGCCCTGGAAGACCCATCATCGAAGCTTTGGGCGTGACAATGGACTTCGCCAACAAGAAGCTCAAGATTGGCGGATCACCTTGGCAACCTGCCACGCTTGGTCGACAGGGGGAATATCTGTGGCCCTTCACTTTCGAGCACGACTTGATTGAGTACGACCCCAACAAGCCACAGTTTGAACTGAAGACCAACGATCCTGATGTCCACCAACAGGATGGCTTCTACCTCCCCGACTTTGTCAAGGAAGAGCACAGTTTCCAAGTCCACGATGGACATGTGACAAAGGATGACCAGACCAACCGAATCAAGGGTCAACTGCTGAAAACCATGGATGTGCACCTCACCACCCACATCAACGACATGTCTGCCTACCTCACTCAGGAGTTGCATCGACCACCAAGACCAAGGGTCCTATGGGAAGTATACTGTGGCAAGGCCCGCACTTCTGAGATGGCAGCAGTCTTTGGCATGGAAACCAGGCAGTTCTCTCTGGACACTGGCTGGAACTTCGTCCCTCGACCACCAACAGCAGTTCTTGGACCTCCTCGATGACGAGATGCCAGAAGAACTCCTGCTCACTCCGGTCTGCAAGTTATGGTCTCGCATGCAGTCACTTGGCCGGAGAACTTCACACCAGCAGGAAGCTCTCGTTGCTGCTCGCCAATGGCATCATGACCGACATCTACGCTTTGTCCGCGAGGCCTATCTTCGACAGGTCAAGGGAGGAAGACATGCTCACATCGAGCAGCCTCGTGATGCCAAGTCATGGCAAACTCGAGCACTTCGTGACCTACCTGGTCGACTGACCGATTTCTCGCAATGTCGGTATGGAGCTCAATGCCTTGATGAGGACAACCAACTTGGATGTGCGGTTGGGGTTGTAAGTAGTTAGCCTCGTTGTCCAGCTTACTAACCGAATATAAGTAGACTATAACTTAGGTATAAGCTGGTTGCAAATGTGGTAACTAACTTGCAACCGTGTTAAGTTCGCCTCTATGCTGCCTATGTGCACTTGTGTTCCTGTCTGTACTTACTAAGATGATATAACCACTTAGTAAGTCCAACGCGAAGATAGCGAACATATGATCTACTTAATGTGAACTTACTATCTTAAGATATGTAAGTTCGATATATGTTTTAGTTGAGGTTATCCAACTTAGTATCTATGTTTATAAGTTCGACAGGTCGAACTTAGTCGAACTTACTAAGTTCGACCGGTCGAACTTAGTAAGTGGAATATATAAGATATATCAAGATATATTTTTGTATATCGTTATCAAAATTTGTTTTTTGATGTTAAATTCAATGATCAAGGTGGTGTCGGGCCACACGTGCTCGCATCCTCATGTGTAAGCACAGTACTTTATACATACGTTTCAAACACGTACTATATTTGTTTTGGTTTTGTTTCGGTGTTCCGAACATATGTGTTCCAAACATTTTGTTTCGATGCTCCACGTATACATATATTGATTGGATTCAGATTGGTGGGCGTGTATTCAGCGCATTAAACACATGGGATATTCACAATGAACCACCGTAGATGCCAGAACGACGCTCAAGCACGCAGGCATGTAAACAGGGAACCACCAAAGGTCACCAAACTATATACAATAACACATGTTTTTGTGGTTTCGAAGCCTTCAAAAGAATGATTAATTGAATCGGGTTTTTGGTCTTCACAAAGGTTGACTTCTTTGTTTGATCAGGTCTTGAGTACATTGACCATCATTTGTTTTATATTGTCCCATTGCACCGGCCAAAAGATGTGATCCAATGCCGCGGCAGCTGCCTGAATTTGGCACGCAGGCTCGCTTCGGGTCATTCGAGACAGTGGGTGGGTTCGGCATCATGTTCAAAGAGTTGTTTTGAATTGAATTTTAGGAGTCCTGGTTTTTGTTTGTATTATTTTTCAGGCCGTTTGACGTGAGCGCATGAACTCAATCTGTGTTGTGGTTTTTGATAGACCAGTATCGACTGTTCAATGCTTTTGGGGTGCATTGTGTACAAGTTGTTGACTTGTTTTTTCAGGTTTTGCTTATAGATTGACCATCTGTTGGTCTATATATGGTCTCATTGCACCGGCCAAGGATGTGATCCAATGCAGCGGCAGCTGCCTTTGGCATGCAGGCTCGTTTCGGTCTATCCGGGGCAGCGTGTGGATTTTGCGCATAGCAATTTGACATTGATCGGTGTGTTGCATCGTCTCGTTATATTAACCTAGAGGTTGGCATTTCAGTGATTGAACCTCAATACGAATTTTTTTATAAGGTTTGATTCGATTTGAGTGTCTAACAATTTGAAGTGGTGTTCAATCATGAATGCGCAGTTGCAAGTGAATTATTTGGCTCAACAACGAGTGGTTTCGAATCGATATTCAATCCTCGACCTGTTTGCTGAAAGGAGTTGCCCCTGGTAACATCAGAGGATTGAACCATCAGAGGATTGGAACTTTTTGGTCAGAGGAATGACAGTTCAACCCATATATGTGCCATATGGTATTTCTTCTTTCTGTTTCAAACCTCGACCTATCTGCCCGACGGAGTTGCTCCTGGCAGCGTCAGAGGATTGAAACTTCTGGCAAGAGATGCAGCTTGATGTAACTATCATCAGAAGATTAAACATCAGAGGATGGAGCCAATAGTCATGACGCCCGCAGTGGTCATGGAATACGCCTTCATCCCAGAGAGTGGCAAAGACGCCCTCAAGCTCAGTGATTTCCGAGAACTGTGGCAGGGGCATCGTGAGTCAGTTTTGGCCGAAGACAACGTTTACATTTCCTGTTTTGCCCGTGGCGGCGGCGGCGCCGTCAAATACATATTTGAAGGGCGTGAAAGCTGGAATGGAAAGCCCTTCTTTGTGT